AGGACGGGACGGGAGGCTGATGACTATAGCACCTGTTTTCCTTCTGCAACTTTGGGGGCAGCGTTATCCCTGCACCAGACTCCACCGGTCCTGTTTGCTGAAGTCGGCGGCACCGCAGAGATCCTCTGCTCTCCTGGAGAGCCAGTGGAGGGAGGGAAAGGCAAATATTACTGGTACCTGAGAAGGGAAGGGAAGGTGCCCACCTGTGTCTGGAAATGCCTGGATGACAAGAACAAGAGCAGGTTTGCCTGCAAGCTTGACAGACATGGCCTGACCCTGGAAATCTCCAGCATCCAGCACAACGACTCTGGTGTTTACTACTGTGCCATTAAGTGGGGCTTTTACCTGGCTTTCGGCAAAGGATCCAGGCTGATAGTTGGAGGTAAGGGAAAAAATGGACCCTGAATACCCTTTGCAGGGGACAAGTGCCTGGCAAGGGAGAGATACGGAGAGCTTGGAAAGCCCATTTGACTGGGAAGGGAGACTAGGCTGAAGGAGATGGAGGTGCTGAGGAGGGAAGTCCTGCAGGTTTATGGCATGTGGGTTGGGGAGAATTAATTTTAAATGGTTCTTAGTGGCAGAGACTACTAAGGTTTTTTTTTTAAAAGTCTCCTGTAGGGACCCTCATGGCCACAATAGATCTGAACCTGTGGCCTCACATGTACCTGGCAAACCTGATCCCTTCCACGGGCTGACTTTTTATGCTAAGTGCATCCCCCACTGAGAGCTGTGACCCCCCACACCTGGGCAGTTATGCCTGGATCCCTGCACAGGCTTCATGGGAGCGCACAAGCCTCCCTGGGAGCCCAGTCAAGCCCTCATCCCTGGGCAGCTGGCAGCCTCGCTGTGTGTGCGACATGTGGGGGTTGATATATCTTCTGCTCTGTTCTGCTCAGAGAGTTACACCCCCAGTGCCTCCGTGCTGCTCCTCGCTGCGTCTCCCCAGGGGACTGATCTCTCGGGGACGGCTGATCTGGCCTGTCTGGTCCGTGGTGTCTCCAACCCAGTGCACGTTGCCTGGACTATTCCTGGGGCTTCTCAGGAACAGCAGCTGACCCGGTCAGTGAAGGGAAAGGACGGAGCCTTAATGTTCATTAATCACACAGGCACCGCCGCGGCCCCCTGGGCCAGCGCCGCGGCTGTCACCTGTGAGGTCTGGTTCAACTCCTCCGGCAGCAGTGTTCAGAGAAGCGCCTGGTTCAGGAAGCGTGAGTGATCGTGTCTTTGGTTGTGGGTCTCAGAGAGACCTCAGACCTCTAGGACAGGCGGGGGAATCCCAGGCAGAGCCACTTGGCTGCAATTAGAGGGGTAAAAAACTGATGGGGAAACTGGGATTGGATGGAAATTATGGACATGTATTTAGAAGCACAGATGAATATGTGGATAGATGGATAGACAGGGATTGTTGAGTAGGGGCAGATGCAATGTTGCACAGGTGTCCCAACAAGGCATGTGCATCCAGCATGTCATGAGGGTACTGATACCCAGCCCTGCCAGGGCAGGATCTGTCAGGAGGGCGCTGAAGCTGAAGGGAGAGGCGGAGAGCAACAGAAGCTGAAGACAACATAAAGTTCTGAGCAAAGGGCATGGGGTGGACAGGAGAGTGGGGCATGGCCCTGTGTTTCCAGCAACCTCCTTTTATTGTGTGTCCCCCTTGCCTGCGATCAGAAGTTGTCACCTCTTGGGCAAAGCCGAGAGCAGCAGAGAGGAAGGAAGAGTCAAGGAGTGATGGGAGCCTCTGTAGTGAGTGACGTGTGGTGGGGGCGAGGGGCAGGCAGGCTGAAGGAGATGGTGGGCTCTGCAGGGCTGAGGCTGATCATGGGCAAACCTGCACCCTCCAGTGCCCGTCCCCAGGAAAAGGCCCAGACACACGTGGGCTCCAGGCTCCTCCTCTGAGGGATGAGACTGGGTCCTGGGGTGCAGAGGAGGGACTCGGGAATTTTGGAAACTGCAACCTGAAGGGTTCAAGGACCAAACAAGGCAGGGTCAGTTCCTGATGCCCCTCTGCTGTCCTCTTCCTCCCTAGGCTCTCGCAGGGAGTGTGGGCAGGGAGGCCATGCGCTACATGGTGGTGGGTCTCCTGGTGCTGCTGATGGTATCTCTGACCTCCCTCTGGATGTGCATCTGCTCTAGTCCAGGTAACCTTCACATCCAAGCCCTCTCGTGGCCTGGGGACCTCTCAGCTCCAGAGCTGTGAATCCTGGGGCCATGTTCTCAGGCAGCTGCACACTGAGAGCAGCTCGCTGGGTCCTGTCTGTCTGACTCTGCACAATTGTGATCCCTCCCGACTCCCCCACATCCCTGCAGCAGGGAGCCCCATCTGCAGCTCAGCCTGGGGAACCGATGCTCTCCCAGGGCTGAACCCAACAGAGACCAGTTTGAATCTCCTGTATGGGACAGGGCCATTCCCAGGCTGCAAGGGGGACCCCCGAGTCATTCAGCTGGGGGCGGGGGCAGTGGTACTAGGAGCTGCAGGACTCAGGCCTGCTGATTTCCTCAGCTCCAGGACGCTGTCCCAGGGCAGAAAGCAGCTCTGGGTGTGGAGCTGTGTGAGCTGCGCTACGGGGCTGCTCAGTGGGTGGCAGTGGGCGTCCATTCAGGGATGCGGCCCCTGCAGTTTTGCTGAGGGAGGATTTACACCTTGGGTCCTGTTGGCCCCTTCTCTCTGCTCTTTGAGGGGCTGACAGGGTGCTAAGACTTGCCGTCAATCCCGTTACCCACCATGCACAGAATTCCCAACCGCGCAGTGCCCAGGGTCTGGGCAGCCCTAATGGATGCCTGGTTCATGCAAAGAGGTTTCACAGAAATCCTCGCACCCGATGGGAAAGTGCCACCTGCTGCCGTGCCCAGCCTGGCACAGACTCGCTCTGGCTGGGATCTGATGCTGCCCCTGCACTCACACAGGGTTGGGGAGTTTGTGCCCAGCCACAGCGTGATCCCGGCACTGCTGGGGGACCCGGATGCAGCCCCCGTGGAAGGGAAACAGGGAAAGTCTTGAGCACAAAGGAATCGGGCCTGGAAACCCCCAGCTGGTCCCTGCTGAGCTGCTGCCTCTTGTTCCCTTCACCGCTGCTCCGTGGCGTTCGCTGCTTCTTCCTGCCCGGGGATGATCTGCGCCAGACCAGCTCCACAGTGAGACTGCAAGGGTGAACTCTGCCCCCGCTCTAGAGATCAAGAGCAGGAGATCCCAACCTCGGGCACCAGGAGGTGGGAGGTTTTCTGCCGTGAGACACAGGCAGTGCAGCCGGGGTGACTGCAGTCTGCAGGGA